GGTTCTGTTCTAAAATAAGTTAAGTCCCAGGCAAAGCAGGATGGCTAGCAACCTCAGTGTTCCAGAAAAACAGAGATCTGGCTTCAAATTCTACCTTTGAAATATAATTTTGTGATCTGCGTAAAATATAGCTTAGATTTTTTTCTACTCTATTATTTTTTACATGTAGCACTTCTGCCAAAATTTATTATACAATAATAGATATGAAAGTTAAATTTATTATGCAAACCTGCAGTTTTCCTGATGGAGGGTCATGTGTAGGGATAGCACCTATGTGTTTACCTTCCTCCTCCCCCAAATCAGCCTGGGGCCTGCCTGATCGAGGCTACTCAGGAAGAGTGGGCTGAATGAATGAATGAAGTAGCACTGGCTATGAGACTGTCCAAGATTCAGAGGATCACACCTCTTCAGATATATGTTACCATATATGACCTACCAGCAAGGCACTAAAATATGGAATCTTTACCAGTAGCTTTGGAATAAAAATGCTTTTGCTTAGGATTTCTTTTGAAAAACTTACTAGGAAACAATCCAACTCATGTTTGGCACATAGAGAGGTTAACACAAATTCCTATTCCCTCGTCTTCCTTTCCAACATTACTATGACATGGAAGAAGCACTGGTTTCCTATGGATATGAAATTCTGGACACGTAGAGTTAACTGCCCCAAGATAATAGATAGCAAACAGTAAAGTCAGGGCTGAGCCCGTCTTCCCTGTTAAATGCAGGGCTTTCAAACTAGGCTCAAGTGAATTAGAAGTGTTAAGGAAAACACTGAAATTGGCCATCCTTTGGGATTTTGTAACACTTTCAACCCTAACGTCTATAATCCCTGACTTGAATATTTTTTTCTATCTTAGCAACATATTTATGAATAGATGCTACCATAATTTTTTACATTTAGCCTATTAATCCTCTTTGTATAAGTATGGCCATGAGAACAAATAAATACCACCCCCCCACTTTCCCACCCCCCAGTGAGAAGGCAGTTGAGTCTGCAGAACAAAGCAGGCACCACTAAAGTTTGTCAATGTGTAGGGGGGAGCACCATGGCCAGGAATTTGGTTAGATGGGATCCATGCCATCCACAGAGAGGGGTCTTTTTATACCCTGCTTCATCTGTGGACTGGTTCTTGTATAAAATTAATGATGTCAGATATCGGGTGGGGAGGAGCTATACCACAGGTGTCTTTGCCCTGCTAAAATGACAGAACTGTGCAGGTTAACACATGAATGAAACAATGGCGGTGTGGCTATTGTCCCAGGAGAGGCAATTAACAGCCACTGGTCTAAGATAGCCCCATACAAGAGAGAGTCACTTTGATTTTCCTGTAGAATAGTCATTAAATACATAATGTACATAGGTCTTCTTTTCATCCCTCTTTTTTTCACTGTCAGAGTAGGAGTACTGTTCCCCTGGTGTCAGTGATTACAGTAGTATGTTACTGAATAATACATGATGACTATTTGGCATAACATACATGTTTAAAATGCGTATTTAATTTTATTTTTGAAAACTAAGTTTCAGCAAATGGACAGTTAGGGTGAATAAAAAGTGCATTTGGAAAATGGACCATAAAAATACTTTCTCAGCTTTCTTACACGTAAATGTGATGTGATTTTGATATAATGCTGCAAAAACATAATGGCCCCCCCCACTGAAATATAAATTCCCTTTTCAGCTGAGGGAGTTCACAGAACATAAACATCCGGGCAGAGATGATGCATTTGTTTTCAAAGAAGGAGACAGTTACATTGCCATCATGTTCCCTTCAAATTAATTTCCATCTAGTTTAGTGAATGGTATAATAAAGCTGAAATATTTAACTATCCAATCAAAAATGTGAGCATATTTGTTTAGAAAATTAAATGAGCCATATATGTAGCACATAAACAAAAAAGCATTCTGGATATGAGACTGTTGATTTTCTCTTAGCCCAGAATTGTGTTTCTATGATTGTGACTTTTAATTTAAAATGATAATAGGCCTGAGACTTGATTAGATTTGTACATTTAAAGAGGTTGAAAGGATTTCTCTTCTAGTGTGCTCATGTTCTGAATGATAATTATTTTATGCTGCATGGGCCTGCATGCTTTTAGTTCAGCCAGCCCAATCTTATTTTTTAATGTAGCTCACCAAGTTTCATACACCTCTAGAACACTCAGCAGATGAATTTATAGATTTCTCATAGTAATGTAAGCAAGCTGACTCAAAGAAGGTTTTGGCTCTTATCTACTATCACACTTCTTAAATATAAATTGAAATGATCCTTTTTTTAGAATTTCCAATTTATTCAATTTAGGATCCATTTCCTAGTCAGTGACCTCAAGCTTAATTTAAACTGATATTGCCAATGACCTGATGTTCGCTGCATGAGAAAGCTAATTAATTGGTGTTCATCTTTTCTTTAGGAAAATAAAAACAGATGATTAATTATAGAGCATCATAAAAAACTGATATGATATGTATATCCTGTTGTGATATTCCTCATTTTCCAAGAATTTTTAAAGTAGATACCATTTTAAATAATGCCTGTGTTATAAAATGGCTTTTTAAAAAGGGTACATTGCAACTGAGATTGAAAAAAATGTACAAAATAAAGAATAATGTAAATATATATATATATATATATATATATATATATATATAATAAAAAGGGTACATTGATATCCTAAAATGAAAACTTGGAATAGAAATATATTTTACCCTTATAAGAATATTGCTTATATTTATTTCCCTTTTTCACTAAAGTGAAATAATCATTTTTAAGTGAAATAGGAAATTTATTTTAATGCAGTATGAGCAAAATAAAATTTAAAATTCTGATGAGTCAAATTAAAATTTTGACAACTGTATTTTGGTTACTTTCTTTTGGTTGAAAGATTTTTAAATTTATTTGTAATAATGTTTTTGAGTTATTTATAATTATCATATTTATTACTATTCATATTAATACATCTAATATTCATTATTATTACATTTTAGTGGCTGCAGCAAACTTTCTCAAGGTGGAAGGTATAGTGTAAACATTCCTCATTTTCACAAATTTAGATTACTTATAACTTTTGCATGTTACAAATGATACTGAAATTAACAGTTTGCCTGAACAACTTTCCATATTTGAGAATATTTTCTTCAGCTAGGTTTCTAGAAATTATAGTTTCCATGCAGGAATATAAAGTACCTAAATGCATCTGAAATGTACTAATTTTGCTAATTACTGCATGTGTAATTTGAAGGAAAAGGATACAGATTTTGCAAAAAATTTGGGCACTGAGGGAGTAATATATGCATTTAAAGCTATTATGAGTCAATGATATCACTTAAAGAAAACAGGTAGGGTTAACATGGAATGGTAGATATAAAAAATCCTCTTAACAAATTTTCCTATTAAGGAAATTGAAAATTAGAGTATAAATTGGAAGGACATATACCTGGAAGAAATAACTCGGTCATCTCTCTATGTATTGATTACTATGTATATACATATAGATTTATCATTTATCTGCCTTCCCATCCATCTATGTATTTATGGTAGATACTCATGGTAGGACATAGGAGAGCAGTTGGATTACAAATAGAGATGATTTAGTAGAGAGAAGATGAAGATTAACACAGTACATTGAGGGTAAAATTGCTCCTGAGAAAATTTGAAGGATAGGATCATCACATTCATAGTCAGGCTGTCCGAAAGTGGGAGTGTGATTACCTCATGTATTGTCAACTCAGGAGAGAAGCAGAAAAGGTGGAATTTGGTAGTTTCATGGTTGAAAGATAAGGGGGTTCTGCCTGGTGGCTTCTAGGAATTTGTAAGAATTAACAGATCTAGAAGTGCAAGGAGATGTGCATGCTTACACAGGATAAAGAGATGCATAGAAATGTCACTTATGAGTACAGAAAACTAAGTTATTACTATACTTACTGGCACGGGAGATGCCATGATCACAAAGGTCTTCCCAGGGTGAGGATTATCCATTGCACTCAGGATGTGCTGCCCCCTGTGATTTCCCCAAATGGGGGAAACTCGACTGCATAATTTGTGGTAGTGGGGGACTGCATTTGTGCTCTCCTCTGAAAAAAAAAAGAAAAGAAAACTAAGTTACTAAAGAACGGTGAACTATTCAGAAATTTGGAGAATCCATTTTGGATTTGTGGTCAAGAATTTGGAGTGTCATCAGATCAATATGGTATTACTATTTTCCAACAGCTTCACTGAAACATTTTCACCTATAAATTAAAAAATAACGACAAACAGAAATTTCCTCAGCATTCATGAAAGCATTCTGGTCCTCATGTGCTTTGTCATGAATGAGAGCAGCATCAAGTATTCATTAGATGTATGCATGCACACAGTAATACTTATCCAGTCCCTGCCAATGCTTGGTATTCGTGTTTTTATTGTTGTTTTGTTGGTTGGCCCCAAACTCCTGTGTCTTATCCAAGTACCATAAATTTGGAACCATTGTTATCATAGACTATCAAAACATCAGGGTCACAAAAATTGTGAAGATTGGTGGTTCTCCTACATAATTTTCATAATCGCCTGGACAAACTTAAAAAGAAAACTCCTGAGACCACTGAAGATACATGTCAGCATCATAAAAGTTGAATTGGACAATGAGGATACTGAAACTAGGTGGGGTGTCCCCATCAGACCATGGAGAAACATTTATTTGATGATTTGAAGATATATACAATGCCAAAATGGCCCAAAAGAGAAACCTGATGAGAAATTTATAAGGAAAAAAAGTCGACACAATCATTAGAAGTTCTCACCTGAAATAGCTGAGTTGTTAATATAACACAAATGTTTAGTGCCAGGAGCTCTTTCCACAGTCCCACGCTTCCTCTACTGCTCTCAGAGTCTTAGGATTCTGAAGGCAGAAAGTATATCTAAACCCTGGACTTTGATGAGTGTTGTGTGGTATCCCATGATTTCCAGTGTGCAGTGAGATCTGGGTTCTCTCCTGTTCTAATGAAATGTGTGCTCTATTTTCAGTACACTTCTGCCCTGACCTATGATGCTGTCCAAGTGATGACTGAAGCTTTCCGCAACCTCCGGAAGCAGAGAATCGAAATATCCCGAAGGGGGAATGCAGGAGATTGTCTGGCCAACCCGGCAGTGCCCTGGGGACAAGGTGTAGAAATAGAAAGGGCGCTCAAACAGGTCAGCCACTCAGAAATGATTGTCGCGGGGCTTTAACAATGGTCCTCTTTTCTCCTCTGTGAAATTAGTCATATTTGTTTTTTTCCTTATGTTTAGAGATATTATGTTATAATTTCACAAAAGCAAGTAGAAGAATAAAAAGAAACCTTCATTAATGCAATTTTCTTGACTTGTGCTCAAAGGGAGTAACCTGTTTGTATCTTCGGCTGAAGTAAGTTTCTGAGTGTGCTCCTTTCCCATTTCCACATTAGGTTCAGGTGGAAGGTCTCTCAGGAAATATAAAATTTGACCAGAATGGAAAAAGGATAAACTATACAATCAACATCATGGAGCTTAAAACCAATGGACCCCGAAAGGTAATTGATTAATGATACAGACACAATTCTCCGTGTGAGAGGCGGCTTATGGAATTCATCCGCGCCTCTTCTGAGGAATCCCCGAGCTACATATCCACAGCTTAACAACTTCTACAAATAGATATATTTTTGATTATTTTTCAAAATTGGTTCTATTTATCTCTAGTAAATAAGTGAACTTGCTTTATTCCTATATACCAATAGAAAGGCAAAGTTCAAAGAGAAAGAACTATTTTCAAAAGTTTATAGTGGAAAAAACAGAACATAGTCTGTGAAAATAAACATGTAGGCCCTCCCTGGTGGTGCTGTGGACTAAAGTTCAGCACTACGAAGCGATCTACAGCCACTGCAGCATAAGCTTGATCCCCAGCCAGGCAGGTGACCCACATGGCACAGCAGACCTCTCCTGTCTCTTCCGCTGCTCTCGTCAGCAGTGTTTTTCAGTCAATCCACCTGTTCTGCTCCTCACTCTGTCTCTGGTGAATCCTCTCACTCCCCTGCCCCCCACAGCTCTAGCCTACACTCGAGTTCTTGTATGCATAAATAAATAAATCTTAAAGAAGAAAATACATATGTAGTTGTTCAACAGCTTTTAAAAATTACTGTTTTGAATACCATGATTGAATTTTATTTCTATTTCTGTAAGATCACATCCAAATTAACTTTGGAGAGTATGAAAAATGACCGTGAAAAGAGAAACCATTTTTAAGAATTTATTTTTATATTGACTTTCTATTCCTATTAGATTCACATATATAGAAGATGCATCACAGCTTCAAAGAAGCCCACTTAATGTGGGCTTCTGATACAGGTTTGAAGATGATTAAATGTTTCGCTAATACAAAGGCCGTTTATGTATGTGCCTACTTTCTATAATCTTTTCAGATCGGGTACTGGAGTGAAATGGACAAAATGGTTGTGACCCTTACCGAGCTCCCTTCTGGAAATGACACCTCTGGGCTTGAGAATAAGACGGTTGTTGTCACCACAATTTTGGTAACTAGCTACATATGCCTCTGTTTTCATTTACTTTTTCTTATGAAAATATCTGTCAGAGTTGCAGTATATATTTTTTGACAGCACTGTGTTTGCAATGACTGGATTATTAATGATTGCATTATTCTATGTTGCATATATATATATATTGAATTTAGCATTTTCTAATACTAAAGCATTCAAAATATCCTCTGCCTTCTTCAAGACTGAAGAATAGTTTGACAATTAATGTATAACCTGCTGCAACAAAGCCAAACAGTTAGATTAGTCTTGAGCATTCACTGTGTTTCCTCAGGGTTTTCACCTGTCTATTCCCATCTACCTGTGGGTAAACTCTAGATTTGCTACTTAGCTTAATTATGTCAACCTCTCCTTCTTCACAAGAAGAGGTGAACTTCTAGAGACAAGAATGATCACTCCTCTTTTTACCATAAATCTTAACACGCTATTGGCATATAGGTGTCAATAAATGTGCATTAAAAAAAATGAGACAAAATGGAACTAGATTTTAAACCTCACAGTTTGGGATAGATGTGAATTCAGACAAAGCATTTTTATTTAGATTTATGAAATAGGTAGTAAATTTGTGGGATTCATTATACTTATAGAAAACACAATTGAGCAATTTTAGCAAGAAACATTGTTAAGCACTTGGAAATATCAATACCTTAATAGGGCAAACTGGCTGTTTGAGGATTTTCACTTCAATCATGCAATAAGAACTACCTCACTGAGACATCAGTTATCATTGGTGCCGCTTTCCAATAGAAAATAGTGAGATCTGTTAAGTCAGTTTTGCAGACTTCCTCTTCCTCTGTTCTCTAGCTGACCTTGTGGCATCATTCAATGCTATTATGTTTTAGATGAAGTAAAACCTGAAATCTAAGGGGGTAGAACCAGTGCATTACCTGGAAAATATTTTTTTCACTCTATGGGTCACTAACCATGAGCTTAATTTCCACATGAACCTTATTCTTGAAACAGCAGTGTGTGGGGATTTAGGTAAATGCTGGCTGTTGGTCTTGTGATATCTTAACCACAATAAAAGCATGATGGATCCAGAGCTCCACAGCATTCTTCCTCACTAAGTCTCAGAATTACACACATGATAAGGAAAAACCCCATCAAGTTTCTACTCTTGAGTCTCCTCTGCTCTGGTATGACTAGGAACAAGCCATGTGCATGAAACACAATGGTGAACATTTGAGGACCTTCCAGAAACGTTGTGCTTAATTACGCCTCTACTACTGTACACCATCTATATTCTTAATGTTTCTGACTACGAGGCAATTGTAAAACCAGAAGATTTGAATTCATGAGAGTAAGTAATAACTTTTTTTTTTTAATCTGCTAAAGCACTGTCGTTCCATCTAGGAATCTCCGTATGTTATGATGAAGAAAAACCATGAAATGCTTGAAGGCAATGAGCGTTATGAGGGCTACTGTGTTGACTTGGCTGCAGAAATTGCCAAGCACTGTGGGTTCAAGTACAAGTTGACAATTGTTGGGGATGGCAAGTATGGAGCCAGGGATGCAGACACGAAAATTTGGAATGGGATGGTTGGAGAACTTGTATATGGGGTAAGTATAGTTCTTCTCTTAAGTAAAATTATTCACCTTGAACTGCTGTTCACAGAACACTACCTGTTAAGTACCTGTATCTTAAGGCTGCTGGTTACCACATTACTCTAGTAAGATTATCTTAGTTCCTTAAGAACAATTTGAAGATTAAGAATGAGGTCAGAAGCAAACAAGCACACAAACTGAGACAGGCATTTCACTTGTCTTGAAGGATATGGGTATGTTTTGTGCAAAGGCTGCAAGCCATAAATGCAGTGTAAAGATGGAATTATCATAATCATAATAGTGTACTATGCATGTTTAAAACAGAGGGCTTTTTGAGGAATAAATTGCTCTTTTTTTATTCTTTACTAAAACTCTGCCAGGGAAATAATTGTTGCTATCTCCCCTGATTTCTTTTCCTTCCCTTTTGCTCCAATGATGTAACCATGATTCCAAACAGACCATGAGTCCAGGTACTATTATTTTCCTTTGTTTCCCTTACAGAAAGCTGATATTGCAATTGCTCCATTAACTATTACCCTTGTGAGAGAAGAGGTGATTGACTTCTCAAAGCCCTTTATGAGCCTCGGGATATCTATCATGATCAAGAAGCCTCAGAAGTCCAAACCAGGAGTGTTTTCATTTCTTGATCCTTTAGCCTATGAGATTTGGATGTGCATTGTTTTTGCCTACATTGGGGTCAGTGTAGTTTTATTCCTGGTCAGCAGATTTAGCCCCTACGAGTGGCACACTGAGGAGTTTGAAGATGGAAGAGAAACACAAAGTAGTGAATCAACTAATGAATTTGGGATTTTTAATAGTCTCTGGTTTTCCTTGGGTGCCTTTATGCAGCAAGGATGCGATATTTCGCCAAGGTTGGTTACTCGCCTACTTCAACTTTGTGCATTTTAGGTCTCAAGTGGACATTCATGGTGTTTATGAATTCACTCTAAAGAATTTGCCAGCTGCCGACTACCTGTCCAAGTCATTAAAACTTAAGGGCAGACTCTTATAATCGGCATAAGTCTGTGAAATATTTGAGCAATGTTCTTCGAATATTGAACTTATATTTCCCTGGTGAAATTATACACACCATGGAGAGGCTATAAAATGCATAAGGTTCCTATCATTCCATGCCTTCTTGGAGGGGTACCGTGTTTTTGCTGCATATTCTCATTTTACAGTCATCTGTGTGTTGATCCACAGACCTGTATATGGGAAAATGGGCGATATTAGTTATTAACTACAAAAACAGCTTGCTTACAAACTTCGTTAGCATACATCCCATCTTTTCTCTTTTATTTTCCCATTGTTAGCTCATGAAAAACTGTCTAGGTTGAGGTTAGGATGCTTGGTCAAAAGGGATGTATGGTAACATTTTCTCAGCATCTATCAATAGACAAGTATGGTGGGGTAATGATGGCTGGTTCATTACAAAAGCTTGTGTCATATTGAATGGTAAGAGACACATCATGGAATAAATTTATACAGCTCTATTCTCATTATGACGTGCTATTTCTTGACTAGCTTGCCTAGTTATAACAAATATATCCAAAAACATATTGCCTTTGTTCATGTTACAAACATGAATGAATATTTATATCATTTGCAATTTTTTTTCTTTTAATATGCCCCCCCAGTCAGATAAATGAAATATATTATGTAGACAGAAGTTATCAATGGTATACTTCCCTGATAGATCCTATTTTTATGAATTATATGGATCTAAAATTTTTACTTCCATCATTTCTATTATATTCCCTGTGGCTTCTCTATGGGACCACATACAAATATGTAATTGTGATGACCTCTGACAAAATGCATGTGATTAAATGTTTTATCTCTATACTGAGTTTATTTGATTTAAGTTAAAGACATTAAAATTCTAATAATGAGGGAGAAAACACCAAATTGGGGTCTCAGAGAATATCTTTTCCATAAAACACTAATAAAATAGTTCACTTTTGGTGAGAGGACTTTTGCATTATAATGTTACCCTAGTTTTGAGATGTAAAGCAGTTATCCTAGGGTGACATGAACGATTTTCTACCATATAAATAAGTAAAGGGGATTGCATAAAGGTTCATTATGAGTAGAGGAGATGGATCTCTGTTCCCCAGGTGAACTCCCAGGTTAGCTTGCTTGGTTTCATATACATCGTGTGCTTGAAATTAGGTATTTTAGTGTCCAATGATTATAAGGAGCAGAAAATATTTACATGTAGGGGCTGCTAATCTAGGCACCTTTAACACTCTATATTATAATTTAACGGTTCATGAGGATACAGACAACTAACGTCTAGCCAGTCTGATTCCTATAACAGGACTTTTGTTTCCATACATTCATTTTTTATTTCATTCCCAACTCAAAACTCATTCTAATTTCATATGTAATTTTAAAATTTTCTGTAAAAGTAGACTTTAGATATTTTTCCTTGTTAACAGATTATTTTCTTTTTTGCCACATGTGGACAAAATGCACTTTGTGAAAAACTTTTAAGCAACACATATCTTTTGCCATACCCAATATGCACAATTAGCAATTGAACATAGGAATATGAATAGTTTTTTTAATGAGCTAAACTATCATTTTAAAGAATACGATGATAGCTACTCCAGTTTAGAGGGGGAAAAAAAATAAACAGTGTAGATAGAGTAGCTGAGTATCTAAAATAATAAATATATATAACTGCACACATGTACATGAAATAAACAGATCATTTTAGAGGTGCTTTCTAATTATTTAAAAAAATATTAGCATATCTTTCTAAGTAAAATGTTACATGGAACTATATTATTGATATTAGTAGAAAACATTTAAATATTACTCTAGAATGATTTATTAAATTGAATTGTCATTTGCCTGAAATTAGGTTCAGAATATCTTAATTGTAGTATTCAGAAAATTAGGAACACAAAATTATAAGAACAAAATGCTGTAAAAAAAGACACAGTGACTTTTATTCTTGTGCTTGCTTCTGTTTTTCCCTTAATAGCTCTAAAAGATTTAAATAAATATAAAAATATATACTATTTTTAAAATAGTTAATAGGGATATAAATGATTGATAAGATACATGGATTTATTTGCTCCATTGGTGGAGACTCTGAGAGGGGGAAGTTTTATTTTTAGAGAAACGTATTTTGCCCATCACCATAAAATATAACTGAGTTTTTCTCTTTACATAAAATTCCCAAGAAAGTTCAGAAGCATTTACTGATACTTTCCTCACACTTACAAATATATAATACAATGCTCAAAAATTTTCTTTGTTGAATGATATTTAAGTCCAATAAATTATTTGTGCTACCTTGTACACTTTATATAAATTAGCATGTTTAATCTCAGTAAGTCTGTAAGTCTAATTTGAACATGTAAAGGAAAACAACCAATGTGTTTAACTTGTGTTTAGTTTACAACTGGAATAGAATGACAATCAACATGCAACGTGTATAGTGTCAAATGCAATTACCAGGTAATCAGTTTTTGTTTTGAGAGATTTGAGCTGTGGGTACTGAAGCTGCCCTCTTAAATACAGGGTACATTTCATATAATTATACTTTCCATTGCTGTGGAATAAATAGGGAACTCTGAGAGTGCTGTGTCTACATAAAAAGTTTCTAAATTTAGAATATATTTAATAACCCTTTCAGAATATGTGTGAGAAATATTTAACTTTCCCATCCTATCCTGTTTATTGTATTCTCTGCATTTCTTAGGGACCGTGGTAAAGTTTTACTCTATTCTATTTATTTTTCATTGCTTTGTTTCTTTCTCTCTCTCCTTTTTTGTTTTAGCATCATATATTTTCATTTAAAAAAAATTCTTAAAAATTTTCTTTTTTCTTGCATGCTTCAGTATTCTACAGATTTTACCCCCCAAATTGATATAATATCTATATTTCACCAAAAATATCTGTTTCTTGCTGTTGTTTATCAGAATATTTATATAGACCAAGAATTACCAAATTTTTGTGTTTAGGGGTTTTAGAAATGTTACCTCTTTATTCAGCAGGTCTAATTGTTAGATGTATTGGAATTGACAAAAAAGAAATCGGTTCAAGAGCTTCAATTATGTATAGAATCCCACCAAATCTTTCAAAATAATACAATATACATCTATTTCTATATTTACATATTTATATTTATCTTGAAGTAAAATACTAGGAATTGACAATGTTTTTGAAAAGTATTTTACATAGAAGAAGTTATAGTCACAGAAAGATTATTTTAAATTATGTCTCACTAAGTAGATATCTAATACCCGTGTCTTATAAACTTTGAATTGTCTAATTTGTTTTCCTTGAGTTTTCTTTTTTTCTTAAGCAGGAGGCACAGAGGTCCAGGGTCATAGCAATCCATTATGGGAAGCATCAGATTTTTACTCATTATGAATTATATTTTCTATCATACCTTGTTTATGGTATCATTTTCCCCATCTTCTGTCCTGCATTGTATCTAAAAATCTATGATTTTGCACATACAAAAACTTAATGAAACATTTGAACTCTACTGGAGCATTATCACTGTGGTAAAAGCTACATTTATGGAGCATCATCTTTATTTTTAATATTTAATTTTGATTGTCAGCATCATTCTGAGTTTTTCTGGAGGTTTTAGGTCTTTTATTCACATTTATTTATGAGTGGATATAGATATTGGGTGGGTTATTTGAACAGATCTTGAAATTGATCTGATGATGGAACATTCTACCATAAATGAATTGGGGATTGTAACTGTGAATGAATTACAGGGATCTGAAGTTTTGGCTTCTGGGTATATGATCAAATCTAAATAAACTCTACTGTTTGCCCAAAATGTTTAATAACTTCTGGTTTCACTAATGGGCAGATATACTGAAAATATAAATCTTAAGATTCCCATATGAGTCAATATTTGCATAATGCTGCTAACTTGTTTTTTTATTTGGTCATTCATTTCACTTTACAAATCCATTTCATACTTGTTATTAGATCCCTCTCTGGGCGCATTGTTGGAGGTGTGTGGTGGTTCTTTACCCTGATCATAATCTCCTCCTACACGGCTAACTTAGCTGCCTTCCTGACTGTAGAGAGGATGGTGTCTCCCATCGAAAGTGCTGAGGATCTTTCTAAGCAAACAGAAATTGCTTATGGAACATTAGACTCTGGCTCCACTAAAGAATTTTTCAGGGTAAGAGATATTGCTTTGAAATTTCTGATTTATTCTTGAAATCTAAACTACTTAAGCTTCATTTCCCTCTATATAAGGTCTATATAAGGGTGAAGTGCAAGTAATTTCATCTCTAACTCTTCTCTGTTGTTTGACTTTGCCTCTATCCCCACCTCTCTCCATTCCTATCCTTAGCTCTAAAGCTATATTTTGATTCTTAACTGGACAATGAAAAAGTGTTACAATGACATGTTAATTTATAAAATAATGCAAGTTTAAAAAGTTGATTTTACTTACAGAAAAAAATTGAGGTAAATTACAACTCAGTTTAGGTTACTATTTTTTAAACAAAATGCTGTTGGATTTTTGTTTTAGTTTTAACATATATGAGTGCCATCTATCTTACATGTTTTACACTTGGGAATTCACTTTTAAACCAGTTATGTTAATTCTATATCAGGAAACAGGTTCATATTGTAATTTCTGACTTTTTTTGTGCAAGTTATATAAGGAAAGGCTAACAAAGGCATTCAACTTACTAACTTTTAAAATGGGTAGCTTAATTGCAATATGTCCTTGAAATATAGTTTACTAAGTTTTTTTTTAATTGATGATCTTATTGTTTCTGTGTATAGAATAAGTTCAGAGCCTAATGTTAGCACAATTTGTTTTCTTTTTGCTGTTATCACTGTTTAAAAACTCATTCTATTGAAATATTTAAGTATAGTTGACTAACATAGTTATTAAGTCAATATACATGACATATGATGGTCTCTGATAATAACAGAATCTTGAATGGATTTGAGTGTTTGAATGAGATCTAGACCAGTTTTATCAGTTTTAGGACTAAAACTATGAATTGGATAAAATGTGAAGCTGGTAGAATTATGTGAAGATTGTCTCATACTCCATTGCTTCTGGTTTCATTTCCAAATAACTTTAGTTGCTGAAGGTATAACAGGATAAAAGTGGTAGGGCAGAGTGCAGTTTGTAATAGGTGCTGAGTTGGATATTTGTGGACAGAGCAGGATCTTGGTATTTTCATTAGCCACCATAATTTATGTGCAGTGTGGCCTGGCTGCTGGCAACTTCCTTGACTTATATCCAGTTCTGAGTCAGGCTGTGATAATACAGAATTGCTACTATAACAAGTTGCTCTGACAATTACTAATGACCCTATGCCATAGTACTCTCGCTTGATCATGACAACAGGTTTATTAAAATTGATTAGTTTATTGCATGGCTCTTAATTACCAATGCATGTTGACATTTGTATTATTTTTATGTTTTATCAGTGTCCCTCCATCTTGAAATAATGTGATTTGTAAATCAGAAAGTGATCTAATATACAATGGTTTACTTTTGTGTCTCTTATGCGGATTGTACTAATCTTGTTTCCAGAAACTCTTCCACATGGGTGTATACCTGATGAAAGAAAGTTAATGGCATTATATTGTTTGGGTGATAATAATATTGACAACTTATACATTCACATCACAGAGATTTTTGGTACAGTTTAAATCAATCAAAGAACCATATACCTTAGTCAACAAGGTGCCAATATTTCACGCTTAGTATTTTCAAATTCCTACTCGACAAGATAAAAGGCTAGATAAACAGAGGCAAAGAATGCTGCTACTTTTGTGTTTCAGTGCACTAACCCCATGAAGTCCACCGTCCAGCTATGAGTGGAAGTGTGTGTGTGCCTGTGCAGACACACCCCAACATAACTGGTAGTGTACGATTTGCCTGTGTGAGGTCGTGAGTGTAGCATTTCAATAGGAATGGAGAACAGAAAAATGCTGAATATTTAAAGAAACTCTAACAGTTTCTTATGCATCTTCTCTTTGAATCTCTTTGACTACTTTGGGTAGTCAAATCAGTGATTTTTGTTTGCATGTTATGTGCATTATTAAACTGAATCTCAGATAAATTTGGGAACTTAACTAAGTACAGGCAGCTAATAAATGTGCTGAAACATTTTCCTTTTCTTTTTTCCATACCCAGAACATAGTGCTTGAATTTATTTCACTGTTCCCACGCTCTGTTTTAGTTTCATCTGCGTTTGCTTATGTAATATTGGAACATTAATAATGATGGTAATTCAGGCAGACTACATGGGTCTTCTCACCATACCTTCCAAAGGAGTTGTTGATGGACTGACAGTAGCTAGGTGTGAGTACTTGTGATAGACCACTTCTTATCTAGAGAAAGAAGCTGTCTTATATTTAAAAATCATAGCTGACATATACCAGCTAATATAAGTGCACACCATCAAGTGAAAAGGAGTTTGCCATGCTAGTTCTTCAATGAATTATGTGAGAAGGTTATAATTTTGTAAGTTACGTACTTAAAGTATTTGTATCTTAATCTTGATGGTGGGTGTGTTAACTAACATACATCCAAAGAAAGAGACAGGATCCTATAATTCCAACTCACATACAGTTTTGTAAGCCAATGTTATCTTAATAAAAAAAAATATTTAAAAAGATAGTTTAGATAAAAAGATGCTGCTAAGCGCAGGTGATTTTAAACCACTAATTCTGCTAACTATATTAATATTAGATAATTGTGTACCATGGCAACAGATGTGAGGACAAAATTATTTTTGTCTCTGATTCTGAGAAGTGCTTTATAGGCACAGTAGTCACTTGCCAAGTGTATCTACCAAGTCTTATGCCTTTTTCATAAAATTTGTTGAATTAGTATATGGAGACAGAACAGCAGAAACTGTTCTGGAAAAAGAAGAATTTATCCTTTAAAAAAGAATGTATCTGGAAGCTCAAGGGGATTGCAACTGAGGTGGAAAAATGCACAAAATGATGTAAATATAAACTGTTATATATAAGTAAAAAAAATATGTATCTTTACAGAATGCTCTTTAAACCTATTGGACAACACAAGGCTAATCCATAGATATTATATAAGAAGGATTTAACTGATTTCCATGAACATATCCCTCCTTAAATCCTTGGGTTTACTACAGTCCTTTTACTGAGCTGTTGTTTAGCTGTATATTAAGGTTCATGTAAAAAGGACAGTGTCTTGTTATTTTCTATGCCTAGATTTAACAGGCACCACACATCCTAGCTATCTGCTTTCTCAAATGTCCTTTAGCTCTAAGCCCATGGGCGCGGGGGGTGGGGGTGGGGGGGGTTGTAGGGATTGGCTCCTAAGCTGTATTCAGAGGAGGGTGAAAGCCCTCAGAGAGGATCCTGGCCCCCCCTGCCAGGAAAGCAGAGGGAGCGGGGAGGCGTGATGCTGACGGGAGACGCCATTGAACCCTTCGTTCTCCCGCCATCTGTTTTGTGACTTTTAGAACCAGAACAGTTACTTCATGGGCAAGAACAAAACTTTTAACATTTTTACCATTTGCTACTTTTTTTTTTAACAGCTATGTTTCCCAACGTGCTCTAACAGCTTTTCTGATAGTTTTCCTTTTATACCGCTTATAGCAAGAGATTTTATTATTATCAATCTATTAAGATTTTCCACTTAAATTTATCAAGCCAACTTTGTTTTTATCACAGCAGGAGTTTGCATTTAGACATTTGAAAAACTGAAGTTAATTTATTGTCTAAATTTTAATGGAATGTAACTAGCTAAAGAATGGTAACTGTTTTATTTAAGATCAGAGATTAAATGGCCAGTTTTAAAACAGAATAAAGTCTATAAGTCTTTTGTCTAAATACTAACTAATATTTTCTGAAAGTATATCTTTGTTGATATAATTTTGTTAAATTATAAAATGAATATTTGATCTATTTTAAAAGGGTTTATTTTGTCTTAAAGTGATGTTAATTGCTCATTTTAAGATGAAAGTGTTTGCAGATATTAGGCAAATCATTTAATAATAAATTGTGTTGCATTAATAATGCATTAATGAAGTCAGTGAATGTGACTAGCTTGAGAATTTTAGTCATACAACTTCTGACTTAAAATCTGTACATTAGTTTAGTGATAATCAGTAAAATCAATGTGAGTGACATATTTACTTTGTTATGTGAGAAAGTAAATATCAGATTCATCTATCTTCCAAAATTTCTGCTTACAGAATAGTCTCTGTCCTTATACAAAATGAATGAGAATATCTGATTCATTTTGGAGCTGTGGATGTCCCTAACTGCACTCCCAGTGTATCATACCTAGAATTAAGAAAGTATCAGTCCTTCATTATAAACTCCTATTTTTAGAGTTTCACATTTTGAAGATTTCTTCTCAATAAAAGAGGGCAAAACCTGAATTAGATGAGTTTGAGTAGTAAATTACTTTATAGGAAATTATGCATTTTGCCCCTACTGAAATTTAGATTGGGGGGGTAGGAAATGGCTTTATAAGTAAACCTATATTTGGCATGGCAATCCGTGAAAATAGGAACTTACAAACAGGAAGCATATCTTCATGCTTATTATAAATTCTACACATTACATTTTGCTAATTTCATCTGGTTTTCTCCTTTGGGAGGATGAGAGATAGAGTATCTTATGACTAAGTGGTTTAGAAGATCTATGCCTAAGTTGAAGGAAGTGATTCTAAAACATGAAAATAAAGGTATTCTCCTTCTCATTCAGGGAAATTAATTACTCTATTCTCAGAAAGTGAATGTAGCCTGATGACAGCCCATGAAACTTCACAGTTGCTTCCTGGCATCAGAGATTTTCTGTAGAGTTAATGAATAGCACAAATGATAGATAAATAGTTCTATGCAGATGATCTTTACCTGAATTAAACAACTATTCTAAATTTTCTTTCATATATATGTATGTTTTATTACTATAGTAATAATCATAACATACAAGGAATGACAATAACTTAGATTCTTATTTTAAAGTCAGCAATTTTTTGGGGTCTCCCTGCTGGCATAAAATACACTTAATTATATTTTCATATAGCATATTGATTGAAAAGTAATAAAAATGAAAAAATTGGAGCCAGCATCCCTATGGTATTGTATTAATTGCTATTTCATTAAGTTTGCATTTTGTTTCAGTTACAACTTTTGTTTAGTTGTGATATAGTAT